CAATGTATTATATAATATATCCCGGATGTATACAATGTATTATATAATGGATCCTGTATGTATACAATGTATTATATAATGTGTCCTGGATGTATACAATGTATTATATAATGTGTCCTGTATGTATACAATGTATTATATAATATATCCTGTATGTATACAATGTATTATATAATGTGTCCTGTATGTATACAATGTATTATATAATGTGTCCTGTATGTATACAATGTATTATATAATGTGTCCTGTATGTATACAATGTATTATATAATATATCCTGTATGTATACAATGTATTATATAATGGATCCTGTATGTATACAATGTATGATATAATGTGTCCTGTATGTATACAATGTATGATATAATGGATCCTGTATGTATACAATGTATTATATAATGGATCCTGTATGTATACAATGTATTATATAATGTGTCCTGTATGTATACAATGTATGATATAATGTGTCCTGTATGTATACAATGTATTATATAATGTGTCCTGTATGTATACAATGTATTATATAATGTGTCCCGGATGTATACAATGTATGATATAATGGATCCTGTATGTATACAATGTATTATATAATGGATCCTGTATGTATACAATGTATTATATAACGTGTCCTGTATGTATACAATGTATGATATAATGGATCCTGTATGTATACAATGTATTATATAATGGATCCTGTATGTATACAATGTATTATATAATGGATCCTGTATGTATACAATGTATTATATAATGGATCCTGTATGTATACAATGTATTATATAATGGATCCTGTATGTATACAATGTATTATATAATGGATCCTGTATGTATACAATGTATTATATAATGGATCCTGTATGTATACAATGTATTATATAATATATCCCGGATGTATACAATGTATGATATAATGTGTCCTGTATGTGTACAATGTATTATATAATGGATCCTGTATGTATACAATGTATTATATAAATGGATTCTGGATATATACAATGTATCTTTTTCTACATTCCAGAGGAGAAAGCAGCACAGGGGTGGGCTGTACAGTGCCATCACTGTGATAGCCAATCAGAGAACATCACTGCGATCAGGTGATTGGGAACCTCCCATTTTCTGATCATTTGGAGTCATCCCCGACGGTTACATTTTACAGGACAAATTTTTGGAGGTCCATCCCCTTGTCCTCCGAGAAACATCATGAAGATGAAACTTCTCTTCCATGGAAGAAATCCACAAACTGAGATGAGAAATGAATCTGATTCGTCCAGCAGATCATGATGAGCGGTGAAGGACTCCTCCTCCTCCCCCCTCCCCTCCTCCTCCTCCCCCTCCTCCTCCCCCCTCCTCCTCAATGACCTCCATTCATTTGGGAAAAACATTATTAAAAGGAAGTAAAGAATGTCACAAGTGCAGAAATACGGCTACAATCACCTCAAGCTAAAAGGAAATAAAAAATCAAAATCCATTTCTTGGCTGGTGACGGCTTTCCATCGTTCCCGATGACTCCTCCCCAATCGCGGTGCCCGCCTCCGCCCGCCAGTAGCATTTCTCTCTTTTCTCCCTCCAGACTAGACAGGAAGACGGATCCGCCGCGGATCAGCGCCGCGCCCATCGCATTGTGTATAAATATTTCATGAACTTTTCCAATTGTCTAATCAGCATAAATTGGCGTCTAATAAGTGATGGCGACGTCGCGGAATCACGGATGTAAATATCGGATATTAATGATCCTCGCCTTGTCACCACAATCAGCCGAATGCAACCGAATCCCTCCGACGCAGCGCTGGGTGTCGGTCCTGAGGGACCCAAACCAGGACCACGGGGGAAGGGGGGATTCAAAGACAGGAGGGGGATTTCTGTCACCTGAGGTGTCCCTGGAGTCTGAGAAATGACAAAAGGACCAGCGCATGGAGTCCAGGAGGGCCGTATTGTACATGATAGGACTAGACGCCGACATGTCCCAGCTCAGAGCTCCTCCCTCATTGGGGATCACAATGACTGAGGGGAAAACCGAACAAGAATTATGCTGAAGAAAAGCAGAGAAATGGCGTCTGTTAGGGGTCTCCGGTCAGGTGGGGGTCCCCAGTCCCAATACTGAGGGAGCTCCGAGCATCTGAAACGCGTTGCCTTTTCTTGTCATAAAATATGAGGATCCGCCGGACTCATACTAGTCTGTATACATTGTATCCTTCATCCGGTCCGGTCTGTATATCATTGTATCCTTGTATCATCCGGTCCGGTCTGTATACATTGTATCCTTCATCCGGTCCGGTCTGTATACATTGTATCCTTCATCCGGTCCGGTCTGTATACATTGTATCCTTCATCCGGTCCGGTCTGTATACATTGTGTACTTCATCCGGTCCGGTCTGTATACATTGTATCCTTCATCCGGTCCGGTCTGTATACATTGAATCCTTCATCCGGTCCGGTCTGTATACATTATATCCTTCATCCACTCCGGTCTGTATACATTGTATCCTTCATCCGGTCCGGTCTGTATACATTGTATCCTTCATCCGGTCCGGTCTGTATACATTGTGTACTTCATCCGGTCCGGTCTGTATACATTGTATCCTTCATCCGGTCCGGTCTGTATACATTGTATCCTTCATCCGGTCCGGTCTGTATACATTATATCCTTCATCCACTCCGGTCTGTATACATTGTATCCTTCATCCGGTCCGGTCTGTATACATTGTATCCTTCATCCGGTCCGGTCTGTATACATTGTATTCTTCATCCGGTCCGTATACATTATATCCTTCATCCACTCCGGTCTGTATACATTGTAAACCCTCATCCGGTCCGGTCTGTATACACTGTATCCTTCATCCACTCCGGTCTGTATACATTGTATCCTTCATCCGGTCCGGTCTGTATACATTGTGTCCTTCATCCGGTCCGGTCTGTATACATTGTATTCTTCATCTGGTCTGGTTCCTGGTCACTGTCCCCAGCCCCCCCCCTCTGGTCACTGTCCCCATCCCCCCCCCCCTCTGGTCACTGTCCCCAGCCCCCCCCCCCTGGTCACTGTCCCCAGCCCCCCCCCCCCCCTGGTCACTGTCCTCAGCCCCCCCCCCTCTGGTCACTGTCCCCAGCCCCCCTTCCTCTGGTCACTGTCCTCAGCCCCCCCCCTCTGGTCACTGTCCCCGGGCCCCCCCCCTGGTCACTGTCCCTGGGCCCCGACACCGTCCCTGGCAGAAGCAGCCAGAACATCTGCAGCGGGCTCTGGGAGAAGGGAGACCCCCGGGCCGGCGACCCTCCTCTGGGTTTCAGTAGCAGCGGGGGAGGTGTGTGATCCGGTGCCAGATGGCAGACTCCATCCCTTATTACAGGCTTATAACAGCAACCATCCCCGGCATCTCCGACCCGACAAACTCTGAGGTTTGGCAAATTCCGGAGAATTCGGCTCCACATTAACCCTTCGATGTTCAGGCAGAACGATGCTTCACCTCCATCCACAACTCCAGCCGGGATTTCCAGACCATCTTCTCATTGGCATTCAGTGGCTTCTGGGCCGCGACCGCCATCCGGTCATTGTGGACAGGAACCGTCTATGGGAGGCGCTCTCCGGCCAAAGCCGGGTAATATGGTGATTGGCAGATATCAGAACGATGGGTTGGGGGTGTCTATGGGCTGCCGCCAATGTCTGAGGGTCGCTCAATCTTCAACAAGAAGAGACACAGGCCATGGCGCTGTACAACGTACCCGCCCCACGCGGTTCCATCTCCAGGATCTCTGGTCAGACCTCGCCCCATGACACCCAGATCACCGCAAGGAGCCGATTCCCGTCTTCTGGAAGATCTCGCTGTCCATGGCGTCTCTATCATTGATGGCTGAAGGACACTCCAGGTTGGGAACCCCAATCCTAACCTGTAATGGAAGCCATGGCAGGTTCCTCTCTCGTGACGCGCTCTTCGCGAGGTTGGACGCACTCCGCCTGGCCACAGACGATCGGCGGAGGACGAGGATTTCACTCACATTCCATCTGCATCTTCCAAACTCTCCAAGTAACTCTAGAAGCGTCTTCATTTGTCTGCGGAGCTCCCGATGGATTTCCTCTATAATTTCCCCCATTTAGAAGACTTTACGGAACGGCCGTGCGATGCGACGGCGGTAATCCAGACCGCAGATTACGTGTTTACATTGTGCCGTAGACGCGGAGGGTATAATGTGCTCCAGACGTGCAGCGCTGGCACCGGTACTCCACAATTACGTCTCCACAGTCTGTTCTACAAGATGGCAGTCTAATCCCGCGTGTGCGTCCATCAATCTCCCCGCAGCGCGCTCGCCATGACGAAGAACGCCCCCGAATTTCCCCATTACTGTCCTGACCCTCCAGACCACTTCTACCATTGTGGGGGACAGAGAAGGCGACTAAAAGCACCCGGCGATGTCCGACCCTCCCACCGCGTGCCGAGATGAAACCTTCCTTGAGGCCAATAGAATGTCGCAGCGTCCGGTCCAGAATACGACGCAATATGAACACAGACGCTCCAATCCAACATGGCTGCCGGGAACCTCGCGGGAAAATCGCAGAACTCAGCTGTGTACATTATATTGATATTTTATTACATTTATTTATTCAGATTTTATCTATATTTATATACTTCACTAAAAACACAACTGGACTGTCCAATCAAACGGTCCAAATTCACCTTCCTCCTCCCCTTCCTCCTCCCCTTCCTCCCCACCTTCCTCCTCACCTTCCTCCTTCCCTTCCTCCTCCCCTTCCTCTCCACCTTCCTCCTCACCTTCCGTCTCCCCTTCCTCCTCCCCTTCCTCTTCACCTTCCCCCTCACCTTCCTCCTCCCCTTCCTCCTCACCTTCCTCCTCCCCTTCCTCCCCACCTTCCTCTTCACCTTCCCCCTCACCTTCCTCCTCACCTTCCTCCTCACCATCATTCTGACTGCACCCACCCAAGTCTGATGATGGGATCAGAAGACGCATCTCAAGAGATCATCTATGGAGAACACAAACCGTTCACATCTCCCCTCCCCTTCAGTCTTGCACAGGTGTACTGGCTCCTCCCCTCCAGTCTTGCACAGGTGTACCTGCTCCTCCCCTTCAGTCTTGCACAGGTGTACCGGCTCCTCCCCTTCAGTCTTGCACAGGTGTACCGGCTCCTCCCCTTCAGTCTTGCACAGGTGTACCGGCTCCTCCCCTTCAGTCTTGCACAGGTGTACCGGCTCCTCCCCTTCAGTCTTGCACAGGTGTACCGGCTCCTCCTCTTTAATCTTGCACAGGTGTAGCGGCTCCTCCCCTTAGGTCTTGCACAGGTGTAGCGGCTCATCCACCTTCAGTCTTGCACAGGTGTAGCGGCTCCTCCCCTTCAGTCTTGCACAGGTGTACCGGCTCCTCCCCTTCAGTCTTGCACAGGTGTACCGGCTCCTCCCCTTCAGTCTTGCACAGGTGTACCGGCTCCTCCCCTTCAGTCTTGCACAGGTGTATCGGCTCCTCCTCTTTAATCTTGCACAGGTGTACCGGCTCCTCCCCTTCAGTCTTGCACAGGTGTAGCGGCTCCTCCCCTTCAGTCTTGCACAGGTGTACCGGCTCCTCCCCTTCAGTCTTGCACAGGTGTACCGGCTCCTCCTCTTCAGTCTTGCACAGGTGTACTGGCTCCTCCCCTTCAGTCTTGCACAGGTGTAGCGGCTCCTCCCCTTCAGTCTTGCACAGGTGTACCGGCTCCTCCCCTTCAGTCTCGCACAGGTGTACCGGCTCCTCCCCTTCAGTCTTGCACAGGTGTACCGGCTCCTCCTCTTCAGTCTTGCACAGGTGTACCGGCTCCTCCTCTTTAATCTTGCACAGGTGTACCGGCTCCTCCCCTTCAGTCTTGCACAGCTGTAGCGGCTCCTCCCCTTCAGTCTTGCACAGGTGTATCGGCTCCTCCCCTTCAGTCTTGCACAGGTGTACCGGCTCCTCCTCTTCAGTCTTGCACAGGTGTACTGGCTCCTCCCCTTCAGTCTTGCACAGGTGTAGCGGCTCCTCCCCTTCAGTCTTGCACAGGTGTACCGGCTCCTCCCCTTCAGTCTTGCACAGGTGTACCGGCTCCTCCTCTTCAGTCTTGCACAGGTGTACTGGCTCCTCCCCTTCAGTCTTGCACAGGTGTAGCGGCTCCTCCCCTTCAGTCTTGCACAGGTGTACCGGCTCCTCCCCTTCAGTCTTGCACAGGTGTACCGGCTCCTCCTCTTCAGTCTTGCACAGGTGTACTGGCTCCTCCCCTTCAGTCTTACACAGGTGTAGCGGCTCCTCCCCTTCAGTCTTGCACAGGTGTACCGGCTCCTCCCCTGGACTGGAATGGCTTCCTCTGATGTCACTGCACACTGGGAACTTCTCACAATGTGCATTAGAAGCTGCAGCCAGTCAGATAGAGCTCCGCCTCATTTCCTGGCTGGAGGACGTCCAGCATCATCTAGTACTTTCCTCCCCAGCCGGACTGCCCGTGGCCCCACCCCTTTCAATTATCAGATTTCTATGTACAGCGTCCTGCTGGCCCCTCCCACCAGCCATCATCTGCCTGCATTGCACAGAGAATCACAGAGACCCAGTGATGACATCACTGTGTATAAATAAAAAAAGGTCTGTAATGAAAATGGAAAGGCTTAGGGGGGGGGGGGGGGGGGGCAGGGGAGGGGGGGGGGCAGGGGAGGGGGGGGCAGAGAAGGTAAAATATAAGCAGATTGAACCTCCCCCAGCAGTTCCTATTTCTGTCTTTATGACTTGTCAGGGAGCGGTCTGTTCCCCGTATACAATCTATATACACATCGGGGCTGAGCTGTGTATATGGAACGCGGCCGGGATAAATCGCTTCCTGAGCAGGCTGGTGATCGACCCCGGAACCGTCATCACGTGGTACAAACGTTCGATGTGTTCGACGCATTGAATCTCCTTCCTGTTATCTGTTCTGATTAATTGGGGGGTTGATGGACGCCCAAAAATGGAAACTTCTGGGGGGGGGGGGTATGAATACTTTTCCTGTTTGCTGGGAACCCGCCGAGAAGTCGCCCTTCTGACATCGCCGGGTGTGTCCGTGCCGCGCTATTCTGGATGAACAAATGATGAGAGAAGGAGATGAATATCACTCCAGGACCGCGCCAATCTCTGCGCCAATCTCTGCGCCAATCTCTGCATCAATCTCTGCGCCAATCTCTGCGCCAATCTCTGCGCCAATCTCTGCGCCAATCTCTGCGCCAATCTCTGCGCCATTCTGTGCGCCAATCTCTGCATCAATCTCTGCGCCAATCTCTGCGCCAATCTCTGCGCAATCTCTGCGCCAATCTCTGCGCCAATCTCTGCGCAATCTCTGCGCAATCTCTGCGCCAATCTCTGCATCAATCTCTGTGCCAATCTCTGCATCAATCTCTGTGCCAATCTCTGCATCAATCTCTGCGCCAATCTCTGCGCCAATCTCTGCGCCAATCTCTGCCATCTCTGCGCGCCTCTGGCGTCCCGCTAGTCGCAGGTACACATGCGCAGACTCAGTTCCTCGAGTTCACAAACCACAACTATCCACAGCTGGAGCTGCCAGGCTTTGGCTGGAGGCCACCGACTTAACCCTCCGAGTGCCGGCAGCGCCGTGCAGGTGAACGAGTCGCCTCGGGGTGGCCAGCGGCAGTCGGAGGGTTAAGTCGCCTGGAGGATTTCTGGCTGCCAGCGGAGGCCCCCCACATAATGGCGGCAGGTTTGTGTACAATCCTTGTAATTACGACCTTCAGATCAGACGCGGTGCGCTCCGGCGTCGTGTCGGGATGTGTCGTTACACGCTGCGCGCTGCAATACGCCGCCGTCAGATCTACGGGAAGATCTCAACGTAACAATGACTGCGGGATAACGGGGGGCAAAATGGCGGCTTCATTGCTGACGGCGCCAATTATCATCGACACAAAGAATTAATAACCAGCTTCACTCACTGGCATCAGACATCGCTCCAATGTAATGCCACAATCGCTCCGCCTGCAACTGAGACTCCGCCTAGAAATAAGACTCCGCCTAAGACTGAGACTCCGCCTAGAAATACGACTCCGCCTAATACTGAGACTCCGCCTAGAAATACGACTCCACCTAATACTGAGACTCCGCCTAGAAATACGACTCCACCTAATACTGAGACTCCACCTAGAAATACGACTCCGCCTAATACTGAGACTCCACCTAGAAATACGACTCCGCCTAAGACTGAGACTCCGCCTAGAAATAAGACTCCGCCTAGAAATAGGAATCTGCCTAGAAATAAGACTGCCTGAGACTGTGACTCCAGCAATAGATGCCAGGAGGGAACAATGGACCCTAAGAGCATACACTGGATGCCAGGAAAGAACCATGGATTCCATGAAAGCACAGTGGATCCCAGCAGAGTACAATGGACCCTGAGAGAGCACAGAAGGTTCCAGAAGAGTACCAGAGAAATCAGCAACACACAGCAATGTTATCATTAAATGTTGTCATTGAGCTCCACTCACTGGTTTTGCCAAGATGATGTCATCAGTCTCCTCCCCTGGCAATCTGACTGTACATTGTAACTTTGTAGAAGGGGGAGGAGACATTTCCTCAGTCTCCTCCCCCAGTGATCAGACTGTACATTGTAACTTTGTAGAAGGGGGAGGAGACATTTCCTCAGTCTCCTCCCCCAGTGATCAGACTGTACGTTGTAACTTTGTAGAAGGGGGAGGAGGCATTTCCTCAGTCTCCTCCCCCAGTGATCAGACTGTACGTTGTAACTTTGTAGAAGGGGGAGGAGGCATTTCCTCAGTCTCCTCCCCCAGTGATCAGACTGTACGTTGTAACTTTGTAGAAGGGGGAGGAGGCATTTCCTCAGTCTCCTCCCCCAGTGATCAGACTGTACGTTGTAACTTTGTAGAAGGGGGAGGAGTCATTTCCTCAGTCTCCTCCCCCAGTGATCAGACTGTACATTGTAACTTTGTAGGAGGAGGAAGCATTTCTTCAGTCTCCTCCCCCAGTGATCGGACTGTACATTGTAACTTTGTAGAAGGAGGAGGAGTCATTTCCTCAGTCTCCTCCCCCAGTGATCGGACTGTACATTGTAACTTTGTAGAAGGAGGAGGAGTCATTTCCTCAGTCTCCCCTCCCCCAGTGATCAGACTGTACATTGTAACAGTCCAGATGGTGACCCTGGATGATGCCTGAACAAAGATGGTGCCGCCATTCTGGAGGGAAAAGCAGATCGCGGCCTCTGTGATCTCTGAGAGGGTACAAGGACCTGGATGATCCCCCCTCATCCTCATCCTCATCCTCTTTATATTGGTAACCTGAAAGGACCGATCGTAGAATCTCCTCCCGCCAACCCATCAGCGGTCACACAGCCAACGCCGACGTATCTCCGGCTGAACCCCGGACCGCGCGGCCACTTCACACAAAGCAGCAGAATAAAGCGTCGGCGAGGCGGTGGCGGAGGAGGACGCATTGTCCTCGTACAAATGAACATATTATAATCGCAGAATCCACGGAAAGAAGAAAAAAAAAAAAAAAAAAAAGGGCCACAAAACGTGTTTTGTCATTTGTGATGAAGTTCTAAACACAACAGACATTGAATGTGCGTTGCGCGGCGCCTCAATCTGTCATAATCACAACGTATTGAAGGGAGGACAAAACGCGGCTAATTGCATAGGAGCAATCTGCCGCCAATAGGTTAGACATCCAGCCTCGCGGCACAATGCGAATACCCCCCCCCACAACGCCGCCAGCGCGCCGCAGAATGTCATCGCTCATTTTCAGGCAATTACCTTCCTTCTTGTCAACAGTTTTAATAACCTCCATCATCTCTAAAAGAGTTTTTTTTTTTTTTTTTTTTTTTGCTTCAGTTAAATAATTTGCAGCTTTTTAATATGCAAATGCGGTTGTTGGTATTCGCGGGTGAAGAGTCTGGCGCTCTTCAGCGTGTCATTACAATGTGTAGCACCTGCACCTCGGGGGAACCGCGCTTTAATTGACACCTAATACCGTTCATTATTCCACTTACTGAGCACCTCCTATTAGTCACCTGTAGCTGCGCCGGCCCGCCGCGGCCACCAACCCGGCTATATATAGGCCACACTGGGGGGGGGGGGGGGGGGGGGGGGGGGGGGTGGGGGGGACTCGCCGCTCGCTCGGCTGCTTCCGGATCATTAGGCACCAGGTAAGCGCACAGCTGCGGGTAATAACGCACAAGCGGGATGGATTTCGCCCGGCGCCCTCCGATATTAGATAATGAGCGGTTAGAAATCGGGCCGCGGCTTCCGCTAATGCGCAGGAATCAAATACAAACATGATTGTTCTATAGGGAGGTATGGAGGGCGCAAAACGCTCGCCGACGAGGCCCCGCCCATAACGCCGTGATGTGGGAAAATGGGGGGGGGGTCACCGAGCGCCGATACCACCACAGCCCCACCCATAACGCCGTGACGTGGGAAAATGGGGGGGGGGTCACCGAGCGCCGATACCACCACAGCCCCACCCATACCGCCGTGACGTGGGAAAATGGGGGAGGTCACCGAGCGGCCGATACCACCACAGCCCCACCCATAACGCCGTGACGTGGGAAAATGGGGGGGTCACCGAGCGCCGATACCACCACAGCCCCACCCATACCACCGTGACGTGGGAAAATGGGGAGGGGGTCACCGAGCGCCGATACCACCACAGCCCCACCCATACCACCGTGACGTGGGAAAACGGGGGGGGGGGGGGGGAGGTCACCGAGTGCTGTTACCACCACAGCCCCGCCCATACCGCCGTGACGTGGGAAAATGGGGGGGGGGG